CTTATCACGATCTGAATATATCAATTACCCAAAGCTTTATCTGTTCATCGCAAGGCAAACGACGAATGGGTGCCAATTAAAGCCATGATGATGGTCTGAGGACAAGCTGTCCGAATGTAAGACCCCAGGGAATATCTATGGAACATATCCCCCGCCAAAAATGGTAAGGACTTTTGGTCATTAAACTGGTGCAGATGGAGCAGGACACGTGACTCCATAATGCATATGTCTGCAGGTCTAGTGAGTATTTACTGGCACTTAGCTCGACTTCTTCGACCGACTCGCACTCCTTTTATAGAGAAACTCCCCATTTTTATTTCGGCTACCCCCTTTGGGGAAATGGAACACACCCAAACAAACGGTGAAAAAGGCCCGAAAATTATGCACTGGGGAAAACGAATTCCTTTCCATTTGTTTTTTTTTTTTTTGACCAACTTTGGAAAAACAACAAGAGAATCGAGGGTGGGCGGCAGGACAGGTAAAAATTACAACCCATTCGAAGGGTGGAGTCCTGTTGCGGAGTTTGTTATTATTTAGTGAACAAGCAACTGTTGAAAATTTACTCGTGACAAAATAATTCCAGAGCTGCGCAAAAAGGGCAAATGGGCAATTTTTTATATGACTCTCCCACTTCCTCATTTCTGCGTTTATTTTTTGGCAGAAGAATTTTCATTTTCATTTCTAGCCGGGTTTTGCCTGGTTGGCGTTCATTTCGTTTTATTGCCACGCATTTTCTTCTATTTATTTTTTGTGTGTTAAGCGCCCCTTTCGCTGTCTCTTTTCATTTCAGCAATTAACTTGGCTTTCCACAACATGTTTCTGTGCTAACACGCATTATCCTGCCGTTTTTTTCTGGGGAGGATGTGTGACCGAGCTTTCTTTCAAGTCTGCCTCGTTGGCAGCTTTAATTCTCTAGCCTCCCCCGAAAACAGGATGGTCTGTTAATTAGCCCGGCGTTGAATGTTGTTTATTAATTATGTAATTCATTTTTCCGCTTAATTATATTGAGAGCGAGACAGGCAAGCCGACTGCCAACGTCAGAAATCCAAATGTATCTACACATAAAATTCCTGTAATTGGACTGTAATTAAGTGAACTGCCTGACGTGCGAGTGGGGAAATCGAGGATTCGAGTATTCCCTCCAGGTTCCTTCTGCTAAAAGGAATTTGTGTGTATGAACACAGGAATAACACCCAAATTAACAGGAATATTTTTGAGGAGGGGTAGACAAAATATTATTGGATTTTATGCAAAGGAAAACAAAGCTTGATTCTATTTCCTATAGCTATATAGATATATTTTATCGTGGAAGTTATATCTCAATCACTTAACTTTATCCCTAAAAAAATAATGCTTTCATCAACATACCAAATACTTTTCACACTTTTTTCCAGACATCACAATTACAATTGTTTTCCCTCCCCTCATTATTTTATGGAACAACCTATTTAGAGCCACCATTGTTGAGTCCCTCGAAAAATCCTCGTAGAACTATAACCTGAACTCTGGGCGGTTTCCGATGGATTCGACATACTTCTAGCCAAAGAACGTTGCCCCAGGGTTGGTGGAGGAAAAAACAATGGAATGCTGCCATATTAAACGGAACAAATGCAGTGCAATCATCTGACAGGACCTGAAAAACGAGGGATGAGGGGTGGATCGGGTGGTGAAAGGAAGTGAGTGGTGGTGGTGGTGGTGGTGGGTACAACACGAAACATGTTGCAAAAAATATTTCAAAATGTTTTTCGCAGCCAACGGACAACACTGCACTTTGATGGTGTCATAAATCTCAAAGGAGCGGGAAACAAGGAGCGAAAAAGGAAAAAATGTATAAACAACAATGAGGAATGTCGAGGTGCGGAAAGCAGGCCAAGGATAAACCGACAGGATACGGCGCAAAATAAGCAACTGCATAATAAACACTGGGACTAATGATTTACGGAGGCCCGAGAACAAGTTGGGAAAGTACGCGACCCGTCCAAATTCCGATTACCTGGCCCAGAATGACAGGTAGAGTGGGATCTCGCCCACGAATGGGTGTGAAAAATGGCACAAACACGAAGGACTTTGCTGCTAATAAATCTTGAGTACCAAAAAAATTTAATTTATTTTGATGAACACTTGAAGGACTTAAAATAAAAAAAAACACTCAAAAACATACCCATGCAAATTTAAATATATATGGTAATGTGTTAGTCTCAGGAAAGAAATAAATCCCAGATTATTAAATTATAACAGGGTTTACTTTTTAAAAAAATAACAAATAAAAGTACACAAATAAAACCTTTAGTAGTAAATATTTATGACTTAAGCTCAAAAAATTCAATTTGTACCAACTGAAAATTTACAAAATATAATAAGTATTTTTAGGGATATCAAACGTCTTTTAATTACTATAATAATTTATATCAGAAGGTTTCGTTTACAATTCACTGATAAATTCTAATTGCAAATATAGATATGCAATTTCAATCTGCAAAACAAACCAATTTTACTTTTTCCAAGTGATCAAATGACACGATGTATGACTACCACCCGGTTATCTTATCAACTCTTTGGGGGAAAGGCGGAGGCGTCACTCCGGATTGCGTGCGTGTGTCATTCATGCGGGGCTGAGCGGGATTTCGGAGGTAAGAACCTCACCTGGCCTGTGCCATTATGCGGTGAGCAGATGCCCCGAATCAGCTGCCCCGAGGACGGGGACTCATTTTGGCATTGTTCGGATGAAATTTTGACTTTGCGCCAGCAGGCAAAGATGCCCAACAATGGAAAATTGAAAATCAGTTGCAGGCTGCCGGCCAACGGAAAGATGCGTCAGTTCGGAAATATGCGAGCAGATAGCAGATAAGCACTACGGAAATGGCAAATCTAACATCTAGGAAACCAAACTCCAAAAGGTCGATAGAGGTGTGTGATTCGGGGTGAAAAATTGGGCATCTGCCGAGGCTGCCAAATGAGGCTCATTTGCGCCAATGATAAAACTGATAGCGGTACGGAATTCGTAATTTTATGGGGAAACATTCAACCCAGATAGATATACAAATGGGGCTAAATATGTTCCAGATACTGTTATCATTTCTGATACTCTTCATTTATGAAATACTTAAAAAAAATTGGAGAAAAGTATCTATGGGTATATTACTATAAATGCTGTTTAATGCCTTCAAAATAGTTTAAGTTGCTTGAATATCTGAATTATCTGAAAGTGGAAAACTAACATTATTAAGCCATTTTAATTTTATTAAATATCTGATTTAAACATATCTGATATTATGTACCTACTTATGGAAGCCATCTTCCTTTCGCTGACCTATTAAGACTCCCAAAGTTAATCCGTTTCAATCCTTGCACAGGATTTAAGCAGAGTTATCCTGATTGTTGCAGAAACATTTTGTCTCTGACTTTAAGACACTTTCTTTATCCGAGCCAAGCAACTGTGAAATATTGCAGCGCATTTATTTCTCGAAAACAAAAATGCTTTCTATTCCGTTTGCCTTATTTCCTGTCGGGCAATATCCTTCTTGACCTGACTCGACAGTTGATTCCTTTCTCCGCTGTCATCCTTTGTTTTGGCAGCCGCTGCAATTTGTCACTTTTCGCACTTTGGTCTGTCCTTGCCACAGCTCGTCCTTCTCCTTTTCTCCGCTCGTGTTCTCCGTTTGTTGTCCTTGGATGACAGGATGTGCAGGCACTTGAAACATTTGCCATATTAAAATTGTTGCCGCTGACAATTGTCAGTGATTCGACGACAAGCGGGGAATTCATGAGTTCAACAACCAAACGACAGGTGAGAGGGCCACAAAAAACATAAAAATGGAAACGAAAGCCGGCGAAATGAAATTCCAAAAGCTAGGAAAACGGAAAACCAGTCCCAGACAGAAAACTTATCTCTGAATTAGCGTGCCAAAGTTAAAAGATTGTGGCACTCGAAAGATCCCGTCAAAACAAGAAGCTGACGAAGGTAAGTCTCGCTACGAATTGCGAAGGGAATTTTCTGAATGAAATAGTTTGCATAGCTAATAAGCAACGAGTCAAATAAAGAAAACATTCCTTAAATGCAAATTGTTCTAAAATTATATTTTATTATCTATGTTTACGATTCAACCTTTAGATCCCGAAAACTCCCTTTAATCTCACCAGAACTTTTCTTTTTCAATATCCCCCAAGTTCTTGCACCAAAACAATGTTGCATGAAAAATGTTCAGGGCCAGAAGACAAGCCATAAATTTTCCACAAAAGGGCAGACGCAAGGCAAAGGGAAAATACGAAATATAAACAAGGCGAAAGGAGGAAGCGAGTCAGGATGTGGCCAGGATATGCGGTGGCTTCGCAAGCAAATACATATTTATTTCCCCAGGTCCTTACTTTCGCCCTTAATTAGTTTGTCTTAATGCCATATTTTTCTTCCTTTCGAGAGGAGCCTTTTATTCCTGGTAGTGAACTTCTGGACTTCACTATCTTTTCTTGCATTAATAGTTATTCCCTAAAATGATGGACCTTGCCTTGAATTTATAAACTTCTTCTTCTGCATTTAAATGAAGTGCATACTTGACATCTAGTCATTAAGAATATTTTGGTATTAAAATAACCAATAAAATAATTTGAGTTCTCTTTATATTCACTAATATTCTAACTATATTCTAACATATCCGCAGTAGCGGATCTAACTATTCTAACTATATACAATATTTTATCAATTTAGTAGGTCCATGGAATTATATAATTCATATTATTATTTTTAATACATTTAATACCGCCAATGTTTTTTTTCGAACTTATGCAATTATATTTAATGATTAAAACGTTTTGTTATGTTTTCCTTGTTTAACAATAATTTTGTTATTGTATGCCTCATAATAAAAATATTTGCATTGTTTTTAATATAACAGAAATCAATTTGCAACAATTTTCCCATAGTTGAAATAGCTTCCTTCTTCATTTGAGTTCCCCGTTTCGTATCTTATTTTTTACTGGCAGAAAGTTGTGCATTCAGGACTCACCTTTTGGGCCTTGCAGGTGACGTTGATGGACTGGACGTCGTGCGTCTGGTGGCGCTGCTCCCCGATGCAGCTGGAGCAGGCGGGGGCCTTGCAGTTGAGGCAGTACTGGGAGAGGGTCTCCTCGTGCTCTCCGCAGACGGACTCCCGCTGCTGGGCGGCGCCGCGGGGCTTGACCAGCGTGTGCTTGGCCAGCGGACCGCGGGCGGGGTGGCACAGCTCGCGGCAGGCGTCGCAGTAGCGGATCTCGCACTGCTCGCAGACCAGGGAGGCCACCTTGGGGTCCGTCTCGCACATCTGGCAGCGGAGGGCCTCGCGGGCACAGAACCGATCCACGATGGCCTCCATGGCCCGGTAGGTGGGCAGGTTCCTAACGCCCCCGTCGTCGAAGAAGACGAGCTTGCGGCAGAGCGGACAGGTCAGGCAGTAGGCTGCTCCCGGCGGAGCCACCACTCCCGGCAGAAGGCCTGTGCCGGCATAGGAGACCGGTCGGGATGTGTTCGAGCAGCAGACGACGCCGGAGTCCGCCTCGCTGAAGATGCTCACCTTGTCCGACTGATCCTGGTCGGAGGTGACGCTCTCGCTTCCGGTGTTCGAGCTCGCCGTGCTGGCAGCGGAGCTGTGGGAGCTGTGCCGAGTGCCAGGACCTCCGGGATTGCTTCCGGATGTAGTGGCTCCTGCGCCGGATGATCCGCCATTATTATGCATTCCATTGTGGCCGGAAGTGGCAGATCCCCCGGATCCATTCACGGGCAATCCCGATCCCGGATTGTATGGGGTCTGGATATCCAGAGCACAGCCCAAGCAGAGGGCGTGGAAACAGGGCAGCAGCACCGGATTGGCGTACAGCTGCTTGCACGTGGGACAGCGCAGTTCGTCCTCCATTTCTGGTCTTGGAATTCCGCGAGAGATGTGCGATTTGAATCGAGATTGGAGACTCGGAGGTCCTGTTTCAATAGGTTTAATCCTTGCTTTAGTTTGGCTGCACGTTGTGGGACAACATGGCTTCAATAATCCTTGGGCTTGTCACTGTTCACTTTGATTTGTTTTTAAAATTTCACCCACATAAAAGTCACTTTTTAAATTGTATTATAAGTACCGTTAAGTTAAGAGGCCAATATCTGATTTCGTAATAATTTTCACATGAACTTTTTAAACTTTAATTTTTTCACTTTTTTTATTTTATTTTTTTTCAGCTTCAGTATTTTTCTTCACTTTAACAATCTTTTTAATTTTTCCAATCCTTTCACTGTCAAATGTTTTTCGATTAAATCTAAGCACTATTTCTCCAATCTTATCTTGGTTCAATAATATTTCACTTTTTAATATTGTTTTAAAATTCACTTTGGTTCACCAGAAATATTTTTTAAAATGTCCAATGTTTACAAAACAATTTCCGTTTTATTCTCCTCCCTTTAACTTGCTTGCAACTCTGTTTCGCGATTTACGTTTAAACGTGACGAATTTTGTTTTCGACCATCCGCAACACGACCGATTCGAATGAGATTTTTCAAAAACTGGCTTCTGCTGAGTTTCCGAGGTTTTGCTTAGGTTCGGTTCTGCAAACGAAAACGCTTGCACACAAAATTTGGTTGCAACCACCGTGTGGGCGCGTCAAACATGTTCGCTCGAGCCTTTGCACTGAAAACAAATATAATTTCAAATATTTAATAGTGGTGGTGTAAGTGTATTGATTGTAGATAACCAGATATTTGTAAACTGCTCCACGTTTTTTAATTTGTTAATTTATCATGCAACTAAATCGTGATAAAATAATGCTAACATTAATATGTTGCACAGAACTATCCACAAGCATTGGCAAATTATAATATAACAAAATTAATTTACAACATAAAATGGGTATAAATGTCAGATCGCATAAACAACTATGAAAGTAAAAAAAAACTAAATAATTATCGTCGGTTTCAGCCTATTTCATGCGTGCAGTAAACCAACATAACAAATAACTTCGAACTCCACGTTCGAACTTGCCAGTTGGATTACAGTTTGAGAGCTATTGGTACCAAAATATCTCGTAATTCAAGCACAAAAGGTTGTTTAATTATTTTAATATTTTATTTTTAAAATACTTGTTTAAATTTGATATAGTTTTTAAAATCAATGCTAAACAAAATTACTTTCTTTTACAAACGAAGAACGTATCTCCAAGTTGCACTTCATCGAACTTATCGGTAAACTGAACTAAAGCCATATAACATGACGAACTGATAAGAAACTGAAGAGTTAGCTTGCACACCTTTACAGTAAATGAGAATAAAATAAAAACAAATTACATTTTTAATAAATTACTAAAATTAAAACAGTGATTTTATAATTATGCTCTGGTGTTTGATGGCCTTTATTTGGTCGTTAATGTATACCTAGTTTTTTTTTTAACTCCTTATAAAAACCAACAATGCCTTATTTTTTAAAACATGGAATGTGTGCTGATTTGTTTAGTGAACCCTTTTTATTTGTTGGTATGGCTTTAAAAGTTATTATTATTTTAAGTACCACTGTAGGGCAATCGGGTAAGTGAACAGGTAATGGTGGTGCCACCACTGCACCACCACGCCACTGATAAGCACGGCCAGCGACCCACTCGCGCACATGGCGACATTCCTCACTCTACATTCCTATATACACCTATATATCCCTATCCCTCGCTCCCCAACGAAGGTGTCAGCGTCCACGATTCTACGATCTACAAATATTATTAGACCACGATGTTTGTTTGACTGTTTCTAAATCGGACTCGGGGTCTCAGACTGTTTTCCAGTTTGTTTTGACACCGAAGCGGCCAATCGAGCGGGAAATCGAGAGCCGGCGATTGAGGATGATGAAGAATGCCCGACGCTAACTGACATTCGATATCTGAAAGCCAAATACAAATAGGTGACCTGCTCTAGATGTTTATCTACACAGAGAGAAAACAAAGGAAAAATAAAGAATCGTAAGATTAACCAATTTGTTGCGCCTTGTATTTATTAAAAAAAGTCAAATAACAAAGTACGAAAAGCAGTCAACTATTTTTAAGAGGCAACTATGATTTTAAAGGAGTATACTAGAACCAATTTAATTTAAAAAAAATTGAAGGAATTTTTAAAGCTATAAAAAATTTTAAAAGACTAAGTAAAATTTATAAAATAAATGCTTAACCTGTACAAATATTTGTTTAAATAGATTAAATTAAAATCCTTTATAACACTTACTACCTTTCTCCAAATTAAAGACTAAAGTACAAATTAAAGATAGTTTCATGCTTGTAAGTAGTAGTTTGGTTAGTAATTTTTTTTTAGGAAAATATTGTACAGTCGAATCCCGATAATTCGTACCCCGCTAAATCGAAAATCGCGATAATTCGTAAAAAATTCTGTCCCCTTGAAAAAAACGTTAATTCGTAAAAATTCCATACATTTTGGTCCCCTCGTTAATTCGTAGTATTTTGCGCAAAGCAGGGAATATTGAACCTCTTATAAATCGTAATGCGATGCGAAATTTTTTCAGTTAAAGCACCGTTAGATTTTACAGACAGCTATTCCGCCTTTATGTCGCCTATGCATTATGAATTTTGTGTTTCTCTCGCTGTTTTCGTTTAGTTTGCTGATTTTTTCGGAGAGTAACAGCGTTCTGTGAAAATGTCACAAAAACGTACGCATAAGACGTTATCAAACGCGCAAAAACAAAACATTATTTTAGCGATTGACAATGGAACAAAAAAAAATTGAGGTGGCAAAACAATTCGATGTCGCTCCATCAAAAATAACATCAATTCTACAGAAAACAAGAAAGGAAGCTAGCTTCGGCAAGCCGAAGCTTATATACCCTTGCAGTCATTAAATCTGTGTAACAAAATACGTAAAGGCTAACAACATCGAATCTATGACGATTTTTCTATAATTTTTCCATATTGTTCATATGACAGCTATATAGTCTATATAGTTGTCCGATTTTGATGAAATTAAATTTGTAACTCAAGACTCATTAGAAAACTGTATATTCCAAAAATCATGATTGTCTGATGAAAAACAACGAGGGTATAGTTTTATTTCCCTTATTTCTATATAGATTTTTCGATCTTTCCTATGGCAGCTATATGATATAGTACTCCGATTTTTATAAAATTTTTTTCTCAATTTAAGAATATTTAAAAAACTTGATGTTCCAAAAATCATGCTCGTGGGATTAAAAACATCGACATTATAATTTTTTTCCATTATTTATATATATATTTTTTGATCTCTCCTATGGCAGCTATATGATAGAGTTATCCGATTTTGATAAAATTTAATCCGAAATTCAATAGTGGTTAGAAAACGCCATCTGGAAGGAATCAAGTCGATCTGATCAAAAACAACGGAGTAAGAATTTTTAATTTAATTCTCTCGTATGGGAGCTATCCGATATAGTCGGCCGATCCGGCTCGTTCCGACCTATATACTGCGTGCAATAACTACACACCTTTGGGAAAGTTTCAGCAAGATAGCTTTAAAACTGAGAGACTAGTTTACATAGAAACCGACAGACGGACAGACGGACAGACGGACAGACAGACAGACGGACAGACGGACAGACGGACATACGGACAGACGGACAGACGGACAGACGGACAGACGTACAGACGGATTTGGATTCAGATGGTGATGCTGATCAAGAATATATATACTTTATGGGGTCTGAGGTGTCTCCTTCACTGCGTTGCAAACTTCTGACTGAAATTATAATACCCTTTTGCTCTGCAAGGGTATAAAAAGAGTTTATAATGCAAGCATCCCCTAGTAGTAAACTGAAACGACAGAAACATGCTGAATACCCGAATATAGAAAAGTCTCTACTTTTGTGGCTTACACAATGCCGTCAAAGTAATGTTCCCATTGCAATTATTATAATATTATGTTATTGTTTAATTTTTCTTTAATATGAAAACGTACAAATGAATGTTAAATTATGTTTGTTTAATTTTAATAAAGCTAAATACATACATATGTAAACATGATGAGAAATGTAAAAACCCCGTTTATTCGAATTTTTCATTTTTGAGCCCCGTTAAATAGAAATCTCGATAAATCGAATTCCCGTCTAATTCGTAAAAAAAGTGATCCCCTTGCCATTTCGAATTATCGGGACTCGACTGTATATAATTATCCAAAGTGTATTTTGTATAGAGAGGGGAAAGAGGAAAAGGGTGGATAGTCCAACAACAAAATCGTGCATCGTGGAAAATGTCTAACCCCCACTTTTCCATACCTTCGCCCAGTGCGTAATCCGTTCGACTTAATAAGCCACGTTCCTTTTGGAGTATTTGATCTGGATTTGGAATCGGTTAGTGTTAAGTGCCTCCCCTCTCCTTCTGATCCAAACGAACGTCTCACTTGCCTATGCAAATATTGATAGGCAGCGCATTCGTATTCTTAATTTGCCTCAATTTATTGGTGTTTGTTTAACTTTTACCACGCCAGTCCTTAACTCCACCGTCTTGTATTCTTTTCCAGCTCCAGCTCACTAATAAATCACAAAATCGGACAGCAAGTGACTGAATGAAGGGAAGAGCTGGGCGCCTAATTGCTGTAGTATTGATTTTTGTATTTTCCTGACCCGAGTGTGAACTTTGGGAATGAGGTGGCGCCAAGGAAAGAAAAAACTTATCGCGGTGGGAAGCGGTAACCTTAACCGAGATTGATGGCATGCCTAATTATTACATGAATATAAAGATGAACACATGTCCACTTTAGTAGTTGTGTTACAGATTGTGATTATCATTAGCTTACAAGAAAATACCCTAACTTATACGTATTTTTGCATACCCTTACAGGCTTCCAAAAAAAAAAAACTAAAAATAAATATAATAATCAAGTGAAAAGAATTTTGTAAATAAGTCAAGTATAATGTTGAACTCTTTGGCATTTCTAGTTCATCCCTTAGAGAATTCCCTGGATCGACTATAGCCAACCGACAACGCCTATAATTCACTGCAGCTTAAAATATTTAAAAACTTTTAGCACGCTCATTCGCCACTAAGACTGGACCGAAACACATCGCATATCGCAGTGAAAACCACTTTCGCACCCCAAATCCTCGCCTCATCCGCGCGCCTTTTTGGTCCACTTTAATGCCGTATATCATGTGGTGTAACCATGGCCAAGGACATTCGCCATATGCGAGCATGCATAAAAACGCAATAATAACAGGACCCCTTTCCACTTCACATCGCCATGCCCAAATAGCAGGAATACTTTGGCCACCGCGGGTGCGAAACATTTTTTCCACTTTTCCCTGCTTTTTTTTGGAAAAGCTGGACGCTAAAAAAAAAAAAAAAATAAAAAAAAAAAAGAAGGGAAAGAAAAGCAGCAAATTTTTTGACTGGCGGCGTTTTAGCCTGGCTTTTGCTGTGCGACTGTGTACGTGTGTGTCTCCATCCCCACTCCGATTTCTCCGCTCCTTTGGCTCCTTTATAAGCCCAGTTCCATGCCCCCCATCGACCCCCTTTTTCCGACTCTTTCATGCGTTTTGTCGTGCTGCGAGCGGAGACAGCGGT